TGCAGTAGCTGAACATGCCCTGAAACAAACTGGACATGAAATACTATTTCAAAATACTGAAATACTGGACAACACCAGCAATCATTACATCAGACTGCATAGGGAAGCCATTGAAATCCACAAGCACCAGCACAGTTTCAACAAGAGGAAATTGTGAAGCTCAACAAAACTTGGCTCCCAGCTCTCAAAAATACAGCGTGCAAAAGGTCAACGAACTCTACCCAGCCACAAGGACAGGGGATCACTACACACAAAAGACCAGCTAATGACACCCATCAACCACAGTGACAGATAATCTCTTCTCCTTAGCACAACAATACACCCACAACAATACATACTAATCACCCATCTACAGGAAAAGACAAAAGCCTATCTCACAGCCATAAATACTGCACTCCCAAGCCAACGACACCAGAGCACAGAGTGCTATCCTCTGAAGATGCCGGCCACAGAGACTGGCGAAACATCAGGAAGAACTTTCAGAACATGGCCAAAGAGCCCGAAAAACCCACAACAACCATCTTCCAATTTTTCTTCACCGTGGCTCCAAATTGCAAAGGTGTCATCCACATATCAGAACCAGACTGTGGGTGCGAAGGGTGCCGAAGCCAGGGCAAGTTTTTCGAAGTGCTCCATGTAGACGTTTGCTATAACTGGGCTGAGGGGGCTCCCCATGGCCACTCCATCTGTCTGTTAATAGAATTCATTACCCCACTGGAAATAGCTGGTCGTTAGGCAGTGTCGGAAGAGGGCCTTGATGTCTTCTGGAACGAGCTGCTGGATGAGTGTCAAGGTGTCCTTTATCGGTACCTTGGTGAACAGGTACTATTACACTCTGAGTCTCTTAAATCTGCATATTTCTATGTTAGGAAAATAATAATAGTGCTCCAAGAAAAAACTAGGAATCCAGTTTGAATTCCCCATTCCAGGGATAAGGACTCACTGTCAAGTTGCAGCACTCGTTATCAAGTCAGACTTAAACTGCACTTGGGACTCAACATGGACTTGACTTGGATTTCTTTCTGGTGACTCAGACTTGACTTGTGACTCAGGACTTGGTACTGAAGACTTGGGACTCGGGCCCAAAGATTTGCCAACATCCATGCTCCATTCCACAGTCAAATTAGTCTTATATTTTATAGTAATAATTCAACTTACTTTTGCAGGTGTTGAAATAATATTTTCATAGTGTCATAGTTTGGTCTGGGAAGCTTCTGTACAAGGTTCCTTACAGCTTTTACTCTGTTGGTATAGTCTTGAATTTCTGAATAAAAAAAGAGAAGAAAAAACATTATGGATCCTACAGCAAGCCTTGACTAGCTGGGCCTACCCTCACTCCCAGGCTTGGATGAAAGCAGAGTATAAAAATAAAAGCAGTAAAAACAGATGTGTCAAATACCACCTGTTTTCAAACATCCCACTGGGCCGTTTGCAAATGTCCACATGTAGAGGTTCATGTACTCAGTGGTGATTTCTAGGATCTTTTCATTCAAAAAAGGCTCTTCTAAAGGTTGGGAGTGTTGGAATAGCAATAAAAAAGGCCAGCAGGCAAAGGCGGAAAAAAGGAACCGTCTAAGGGTTAATTTGTCCTTAGAGAGCTTTTAAGCAACCAGCAAGTACGATTGCAAGGCAGTAGCACTAATTTGATGTCCTGGATGCATGCAGAAACCCATGTTGAATAGTAGCTTGGTGGGGCTAAAGGGGCTTCCTCTTAACTGGCTTGGGGGGGCATATGAGAAGGTTGTGTTCTATCTTTTATGGCCAACCAATATAATTTGCTAAGCTTTTTTGTGGATTCTGATCAGTATACTATAGAGTAGCTTTACTGAGAGAACTGTTCCTGTCGGTGGCAAACTCCTCTTTCCTCCATTTAGCCATTCAGGCTAGCAGAATCCTAAGGGTGTGTGTGTGGGGGAACTGGTGTGCGATGCAGTGGGCTACAGGGACAGGGTGTATGATGAAAATGGGGCAACAGCAGGTATCATGAAGGGGAAGGTTTTCTGACCTGTAGGTTTGGTTTGGCTTATGTGCGGATAGTGCAGTGGACCCTCTACTTACAGAATTAATCCGTATTGGAATGGTGGCTGCAGGTCAAAAAGTCTGTAGGTCAATCCATTGACCTACAATGCATTGAAAACCGATTAATCTGTAACTGGCCGTTTTTGTTCTGTTTTTGTTCCATTTTGGTTTTTTTCTGGTCTGTAGGTTGCTTCTCTGGCTGCAAGTCGAACCTAAATTTTGCGGCCAGAGAAGTCTGTAACTCGAAAACTCTGTAACGTGAGCCGTCTGTAAGTCGTGGGTCCACTGTGTTCTGCATGTAAAAATTGGGAGCTCTGCCTGCAGTCCCAAGTGTTAACCTGAGGTACAGATTTATCTTATTAGAAAGAAGTAGGTCAGAGCTATAGCTTATGGCCTTCTCAATTAGCAGCTGCTTCCAGAGTCAGAGAATGTTCTTGGTGGCTTCTCCCAGACTCTGGAACTTCCTGCTAAAGAAATAAAGATTTATGATCTTTCTGCCATCCTTCTACTGTGAGACAAATCTTCAAGCAGATTTTTGGCATGTAGGCTGATCAACTGTTGAGGAATGATACTGGTATTTTATTGCTGCATTTAAACTTCTTTATATACTTTTAATTTATTATTTAGTTTAATCTATAACCACTTCAAGTACCTTTTTATGAGGAAAGCATGGCATCATTTAATTAATAGATCACACCCTTATATTTGTTCCATACCTCAGATATAGAGCTCATATGCTTCATTTTCTTTCTACTGATCAGTTCTTGGTTGTGTTGATATTGGTAGTCTACATCCTGTCCCTTGTCTGCCATTCTTTCCTTTGTTTCACAACCTCCTTTTGTGAAAAACAATTAGCCAGTCAAAGAATTTGAGACTGAGACCTGTATTCACCTTTGCCATGTGAAACTTCTTTTGATGATATGATAACAGTCTTGCTGCTGACTGACTCAGGAGAAGCATACCTCTTATACAATTAATGGTTTCATGCCTTTATGGTTTCTGACTAAGATATTTGCATGAGATGTTGAAGCATTGTATAGCTGTGCTTTCATTTTGCAGCTGATAAGATAAAATAAGTTCAAGGCCCAGAACATAGGGAAATCATTTTACATGCTACACATTCAGATAACCTGAAACTTCTCACTGGCATTATGCAGTGCAGTTTTAATACATGTTTTTAATGGTTAATTCTTGTACATCAGAAGTGGTTTCAGACTCCTGTAAGGAAACGATACCTCTCTCATGGTAGTAATGTACAAGACCTCCCTCGGCACCCTGAATGCTTTATATCAGCTTTGTTAACTCTTAATGAGTTTAAAAATCTAAACAGTTATACTGACATTGGATGGTGAAAAATTTTGACATTTTCAGTTGTCATTTTGTTGATCATTAACATTAAAAGCCATAGGACTGATGGTATAAAGCTTTTGCCTATTTTGCTTTTGGCTCCTTCAAAAGAGCTCTTTCAGGATTATAAATTACCTTTACCAAACAGGTGTTTTCCAGATGCATACAAATCCCTTAGTCTGATTGCTAGGGATTGGGATTTGTAGTACAATACAACTGGAAAGTGCCAGGTCAGAGAATAAATTGCTGAAAGCACGCTAAGATAACAACCTGTACAATTAAGTTTGCCATTGATCCATTCACTGTATGTCTTCTGTTCTTTCCACCCCACGCACCCCTGGCAACATGTATACTGTTTGTTCACTTTTCAAACAGATGGATTATTTAAGAGAACATGGCATAAAATTTAAAAAAAAAATCTCGTCAAAATTCCTCTAAAAATGCCCTTAATGTTTTAAAGCAACTAGAATATATTACTTATTACATCAAACCAAGCAATGCTGTTCCCACTTATTATATTGCTTTTGAAATGTAACTCTTTCATGCCTTTTTTAAAACACACTAACACATTTGCAGCAGGTATAACTGTGTTATTTAAATTAAAAACTCCAAACCTCTGAACTTGTTTCAAATAACATACTGTTAGGACTAACCAGCTTATTCAGGTACATTGAACGTTAGCTTAAAGCTTTAGCTTCACTAAAGACAGATGTAAAGATTTCTGATTGTTTTCTGCAAAACAGGGGAAAGTAACCTCAATGGGTTTGGGATTGCAGTATTGCCCACAGCCCCTCCTGCAGGTCATTCCTGCAGGTACAGAAATGACTGTTTGTAATTTAAAAACCAAAACCCAACACCCCCAAACCTATCATTTGGAAGCATGTCTGGTTTTGGAGTGGAGGGATCACCACCCAGAACATTTGATTGAAAAACTGCTACTCCTAAAAGCCCCTGGGAGCAAGGAGGGTTTAAAAAAAAAAGCTTGACAAAATAATACTTTTTTAAAAAATGGAGGGGTTGTGAGGTGGCCTGGGGTCTACAAAAATGCCTCAAGGGAGCCCAAAGGCTATGTGCCACCCATGTCTGCTCTCATGTAGGCCAGAAGAAGAAAGGGAAGGTGAGAGCACACAATGCTTGCCTAGGCCTGTTTTCATAATGATACCATTGTTTATTGTTACACTCAAGCACAGCAATAAGCACTTGATCTAAACCACAGATTTGGGACCCTTCCCCTGGCGGTGTGTGTTGCGAAGTGTTTTCTGGGGAGGTTGCCACAGTTATTTTTAATTGCAATTACTCTTAGATTTATAATATTAAATATAGTACACACAATGCTGTTTGATTTTAATCTCTTGGCCAACAGGTAGATATTTTTAATCTGAATTGGAAATGCAGCCAACCTAGAGTTTTTAATTATTTCTGTACCTTTTGGGGTGGATCTTCCTTTTATGCATGCACATCACTCCTACCTCCTCTGAAAGAGTCATTCTTCCTTGTTTCTCTCTGCTGCTTTCCATCCACATCAGCACTTTGGACCAAACTGTTAGCCCAGTTCAAAAAGGCCTGAATGAGGCGAGCGTGTGGGGCAGGCTGGGAATGCTGACACCCAAGATGGCAGCAGGATTGAAAAGTGGTTGCTGGCATGATAGTGGTGCCTTTTGCTCCACCTGTCTCCAGCTGTTTGGGGTGTGGTGATGGTGGTGCATTGAAGGGAGAAGGGAACTGAGATGTTTCCAGGCCCTGCCTGACTCATGGAGGACGAAGGCAAGAGGGGCGAAAAGGTGGGAGAGGAGAACCATGGGGCAGGGCCCATGGGAGAGGTATTTATTTCAGCTGGAAGTGGAGGGGCTCTTCATTAATGCGGTGTTGGGGGGCGAAGATATAAAGGGAGGGTCATTTCTAAACACAAAAAAATAAATTAAATGCCAAGTGTGTTTATATATTTTTTCCTTCTCACATTTTGTCTGGTAGACAGTTTTACAGTTCCCACCATATTATTGCATTAATATTAATATATTAGGGTTAATTTATATTTAAAAATCCATTTTAATGCATTTTCTTGACCATATTAAAATGCATTTTATGCAAATACAGTGGTGCCTCGACTTACAACCATAATCCGTTCCAAAAGATGGACGTAACTCAAAATGGTTATAAGTCAAAGCACCATTTCCCATAGGAATGCACTGAAATGCAATCAATCCGTTCCGGCTGAAGAAAAATAAATAATATATAAATATATTTATAAAATATATACAAAATTTAAAAATCACTGCAAGACTCATTGGAAACATGATTAACCCCTTCTGGCCAAAGGGGGGGGGGAGAAAAGCAATCAAGCATGCAAGACCCATTGGAAATGCACAGAAAACAAACGGAGCAGATCGGAAATGTACAGAGAACAAAGGGGACAAGTCGGAAATGCAAAGAAACAAAGGAGAAAGCAAGGGAAGCATGCAGGACCCATCTGAAATGGGGGGAAAAAACCTCAAAAGCAAACAAACCCCCCAAGACCCATTGGAAATGGGGAGGAACAAAAAACAAACTCCCCAAGACCCATCGGAAATGGGGGAAAAACCCAAACACAAACAAACCCCCAAGACCCATCACAGCACAGAAACATAACCTCCCAGCTCAAAACCATGCTGCAAAAATCACCCAGAAAAGTTTTTAAAAAGCAGAAAATAGCACCTTACCTTACCAGGCAGCCCAAAGCCTCCCTACAAAGACACACACTCACTCAGAAGCAGAAGGAGGCAGTCCCAAGTCTCCCCCGATGCACACTCTCTAACTGCTGGGGAGAAAGAGCTATAAAGAAGCAGCCTTGTCGCCACCTACAGTTAGAAATTTGAATTTCCCCCCTTTCCCCCCCTGCCTTTTTCTGTTCATAAGTGGAAG